GTTCGCTCATTCACAAACGATCTCTCCGCCCAGATGAATGCGAACCAGATCGTTACAAGGGTATTCTACGGGCGTGCCACGTATGGGTGTCTTCAGGTCAATACTGGCGGTTTGGTGAATACAATTATTAATGCCGTCATTAAGAGCATTTACCATTTTTTAATACCTACGATCAGGAAGGAATATAATCCATTACTCAACCGTCGGTTGTTAGACGTCCGTTTTTTATGCCTTTTCAGCCCGTTGCCAATAGAGCAGTAATGGAAAGTTGCATCCTTTTTTTTATACGAGATTATTTCATAAAGTTTATATTAAGCATGATATCTGAATAACGTTTTTGTGTTGTTTGCGAATTTTATCAGAGAGCTTCTTTTATCAGAAAGTTCAAGGTAAACAGAATAAAACATTATGTGTACATATTTATAACAACATTATGTATAAATGTATGTGCGGAAGTAAATTATAAAAAATAAAAATTTGTAAGATATATCTCTCTTTTTTTTCTACAAGAAATAATTTATAGTTAATATCTGCGTTCTCTCACATAAAAATATATGTAGCTATTACATTAAAAAAAAACACGTAAACTTAAGAAAACTAGATCGTTGTAACCTCGAATATAAGTATATTTTAATCGCCGTTAAAAGAGGGGAGCCACGAAAGAACAAAATATGCGACAGAGACACGTGTCAACGTAATAAATCGTAGCGATGTCCAACATACGGTTTACTTTAGACGGCAGATTCGAATATATGATTGTAAACTGCACGTGGACAGCGGTTACGCAAATGTTCATGTTTCGTTATAATTGTTTTTGTCTTTTTAAAAATTCTTTAAATCTGAAAGTTGATATTTCTTTCTTTTTCTTTCTCTCTTTTTTTCCATATGTTAATAATTTCTCAAAAGTATGAATAAAAGGAGTTTTTAGATATGGATATAAATTATAAAACACTAAAAATATGTTTGTCCACGTTATCAATAAGCATGTATACAATGTAAGCGCATTTAAGTATTGTATAGTAAAAAGTAAAAAATATAAAAAGTTCAATAATGCACGCATCTGTGATGTCTAATAATTTTAAAAAAATTAATTTTAATTTACTTGTTTATATTGCAAAAGTGTTATATTCTACCTATTAAAATTTTATATAAATATTAATTATGCTTACAAATCTGAAGTATAAAAGAAGCTTCCTACGTCTGTGAAATCTATCTTGCGTTTATGAAAATCATGTGCAACGAAACGCAATGACAGTCATTCGTAGTGGCATGAAAATGACTCCTCGACGCGGATCAAGGATGATATCTAAGGCGGAGAGAAGACTAGAGAGGCATCGTCGGGATTATATGGGGCGCGTCCACGTATACACTCTCCTAAACGCACTCCCCAGAATATTTCCATCTCTTCCTGTCTCTTCCGATCTTCGCTTACATTCATTCTCGTCCTCTTCCTTCTGCTATTTCTTTCTCCCCCTATATGACGAGCGCGTCGCGCACAGTTTACATCCACACCTCCGACCGATTATTTGTTGCTTCCGTTCCGAAAGACTATTTTCAACCAACATTCGTATTCAAATCTGTTGTACGTTAAACGAAGGCTATCGAGAACGTAATGCCCATCTCGTTTGTAACAAGTACCTATATTATTATTCACAGAATAACAAGTTGTATCGTTTTTCAAAAAAGATATATATTTTTACGTTTTACTTTGCTTCTGTATTTATATCGCAGGATCTTCTTCGTTTATCTTCTTCGTTTTAAGTGTCCTGAACAGATATGCGTAATTAACCCTTTGAGAGAGATTGCGAATGTATACCTACTATCATCGGAGTGCACGCTACGGATAACTATATATGTATATCTACTGGAAGAGAAGGGTCTGTGCACCTCCTATCTTCAAATTCTCGTGAACCGTTCTCATAGATCTGCGTTGAAAAGACTTAATGAGTGTTTACATTCAAAGCAATCTTGTCTTTTTTTTTTCTGAATCTTATGAAAGTATATTCTCGTGTTATCTGAACGTTCCTGTGTTTCATCCCGAGAATAAGTTTGCGACACACGCGTTGCGGAGATAAAAAAATCGCGGCGTGAAAAAGAAGGCTCGGATGTTCCAGGTAGGCGGTCGTAGTTTCTTCAGCGGACTCTTCCTCTATACAGTTTCTGTAAAGCCGTAACGTGGTTTACAACTAGGGAGTTATGGCGCCGGCTGGTGGTACGCGAACAAGATTTGAGCTCGAGAGGGAGTTATCAGGCGACTTAATCGAACGATTAATGGTACGGCACGTGTAAAAGTCCCACAGAGACGAAGAAGCGCGCGAAACAGGAAAGGATGGAGATATCGGGGGTAAGAATCAGCTAGCGATTCGAATCGACCATGAAACCGCTTGTTAGATGCTGGACCTTAACGTGGTCCTCTCGTACATTTAAATAAAACTCAACCGAGCGTTGAGTGATTAACTAATTATTCTGTGGCCCAACGAGATCAATCGCTATAATATAACTCATTCACAAAATGCCCCCTTTTTTCGTAAAATAATATACAGAACGGTATAAAAAAACATTCAGAATATGTATATTGCGGAACTGTTCACGTGCGCGCGAAATGGTTTTCGATCAAAATTATTTTACTATTTTTCTTTAGAAAACACAATAGAAATCTAGTAGATAATTTAATAATGTCAATTATGGAATCCATGTCCTATACATATTTTTATTAATTTTATTCAGATAGATTTAAAATCAGCATATAAAATAACATAAAATTATGCAAAGTTTAGACTGTTTAAATTTAAAATATTATATGGTTCTGAAGGAAATACATTTTTTAATTTATTTGTATTGACACAAACAGCTGAAACTTAAGAGAGATTGCTGAAGGTAAACTGTTTTGTTATAAATTAAAAAATATAATTTTTCATTACATTTTATTTGCAATATATTAGTAAGGAGCTACCTTTGGTGTATAACTTATAGCTAACTTTTGAAGGTTATTTATACCGTCTAATCCTCTCTCCCTTTTTCTCCGGATTGGAGAAATATCAACGGTGATGGAACGATTCGGGACGCGTTAAATATTAAGCCGACCACGAGGCACATCCGAGTTGGCTCATAATGAGGGCGTTTTCAGTATCTTGGAGATAAAACCTATGCATCTCCACTGCTGATCAGAACCGCTCATTAGCAGCAGATTAATATGATCCGGTCGACGGAACGAGCAAACAAATACACGGTAGCCATGTCCACGACAACGTCCCCATTCGTTTAGCTGCCCCAAGCATTCGGATTTCAACACGTATGCGCACAAACCAGAGAAACTTCAATATGTAATAATTGTGATATAAAATTATTAGGCTGAGTGTTTAAGACTGAATTAATAACGATTATGGTAATTAGTTATCAAGAATGTCAACGGACTGAAAGATATAAACAGAACACGAAAAAATGCGAGATGACCGGTCCGCGCAAATTCTTGAATTAATTACGCGAGATAAATCAAATACACCGTAAGTCTCGGCAGTTACGTATTTTCTATCGCCATCTTAATCTTTTAACTACGACAGCGACATTACTCTACAGAGAGAGGTCTCGGCAAAACCACCTAAATATGTGAGACACATTTTTTACATTTTGTCGCGAGAGACGATCTGCAATAATATTGCAGCTCCTAGATTGAAAGTTACGAGGGAGTAAGTAAAGAAAACCGTAGCCTTACATGGAACTTCGCGCGAAATCAAGATCTCGGTTAAGGTGGGGACACGAGGGTAATGGCGTGTGCATTATTCTGATAAATCGCTCCGACTGGCGTCAATCCTGACTTCGAGCTGACTGGAAATCTTGCCCGGCAAAATCTATACCTACCTACACAGGATGCTTGAAGTCAAATCGCGGCATCATCAAACGGGAATGCCAGACGAAAAATATGTCATGACACCGTATGTTTCTCTGAATAAAATTACATACAAAATATTTATGTATCTCTTACCTATATGTACACAGAGAGAGACAAATAAATATATATTCATGTGTACTAAATTTAATTTATAGAGATTATATAAAAGATGATTGTGGCAATATTAATAGTATAATATAAATTACTACTAGTAAGACATTTTAATGAAATAATTAAAAATTCTGCATTATATATATACAATTGTCATTTGAAGGAATATGCTTGTAAAATTAATGTAATGCAATAACGTTATTTGTAGTTATTATGCTTTAATAAACTGATAATAATGTAATATAGTAAAATTTGTTATATTTTTAATGTTAATAAAAGAAAAATTAATAAGTAGATTTTTTATTATTATTTAGATCATAAAACATATTTCACAGCTTACTAATTAATGTAATTTTGGCGATGATTTTAACGATATAACTGATATGTAAGTTATATTTAACTTATACTCCAGTCGTAAATCAGAGATTTATGGTAGTGCATATTAATTGCTACATTGATTGATCGTTAATGATCAATTAACGGATATTAATTATAAAATTAATATTTTTGTAATAGGAAGTGTCTTGTGAATTATATTAATTATAGTTAAGTATATTAAATTTAATTTATATACAAACAATTTTTTCCTTCTAATTTAATATCTTCTTTCTATTAGCATTACATACACAAAAGATTAGAAATATAACGAATTGTAAATTTCGCATATTTTATAAATTTAATATCATTCGACAGAATATATTTGAGAAGATATCGATAAGCAAGTGACACGAATCTGCACCGTACCTGGAGACCTGAAAAGGGCCTTCTACCCTGACTGCCAAGATTTATCGTTTAAACGTGCACTTATGGGTTCAAGAGAGGGTATTGCGTCACATACGCGAGGCTATAAATCATCAAAATATGAGTCGATGATAGAACGCAAAGGAATAACGTTTAGTACCTGAATTAACGTCATCTAAGGCATTTATGTGAATAAATGATTGGATACGATCGTTCGTCTAAAATGATAAGTTCATCAATACTGTGCAACAAGGCCGAGAAATTCAAACCTCGATAAAAAAAAGTATCCTTTCTTTATTCATTTGTAACGTATGACACAACGCGGTAAGCGCTGAAGCCCATGTGGATCTTGGAAGATAAAATTTTAGGATGCACGCGATCGCACATGCGAAGGCGCAAAAAGATGCGGGCAAGTCAAGGAAAATCAAGTTCATCCCCGCACATGTTGCTACACTCGGCGAGATCTTCGCCCGAATGGAATTATAGCACGTGCTTTGAAACGTTGAACCCTCTCTCCGTTTATCTTCCAACTGCGGTAAAAAGAACATCTTCTGATATTCGCCCGTCATTCATACGTACCGAGAATTAATGACTTATGCAGCGTGGAATTTTGTTATTTACGTTTTAACATTGAATATTAATTTAATTAGTTTTATTACAAAAAGATTGGTTTCTTTTTTTTTTCTATTCGTATATTCAATTTATTATATTTCAATAATTTATTATTTCAAATAAAAGTAATTGACACATCCGGGATGTCTAATTTTAATTTTACTCGAATTAAATATTATATAATTGATTATATGTATTACTTTAATTTGATACATCTGCAAGTAATTATAAAAATGAAAATTTTTCATATATATGTATCTCTTTACAAGCTAATGATTCAGACACTTAAAGAATATATTTTCCTAGTTACTGTAAAATGGAACATCTGCCGCTTGTAAACATATATAATTTAGTTATTAAGATTTACCGTAGAAAACTTAATTCACGGCAATCATCATCGCTACTATCATCGTTCATTCCGGTGCTGACCCCAGGCATAACAAACGAACGAACCAACGAACGATTCGCAACGACGACGATATTATCTATTATATTTAATGCGAACCTCTTTAGCCTCCGCTAATTGATAGCTGGGCATTAGCGTAATTGTAATGAGTCAAAATTACGGCAATCATGCGGTCTAGCGCCTTGGGGGAGGAGTTAAAGTCTTTGGCTTTCGGTGGATCTTCAAAGAAATTCGCCGTCGTATTCTTCCGCCAGTCTGAGACCGATTATCTGAATATTTAATGCGTGAGAAAATAAAATTTTCCTCTGCCATATTAAAACATAAAGTAGAATATCAAGAAAGCCTTTAACTGGCATGTATTGAGAACTGTATTCTTTAAAGTGTATATTCACTCCGTGAAAAAAATTACTCGATGATAACATCGATGAATACATAATAAACATATATGAAAGTCCTATATTATCTCAGCAATAACCTTCAGACAAACTAAATGTGATATTTATAGCATGCAAATAAAATTTGAAATAAATTTGCTATAGAAATTATTTGTCAAACGCAAACGTTTGATTTTTAATGTTGAATATAAAACTAAGAACTATAATACCGAAATAATAATCTAATTATGTGAAAGAAATGACCAATAATTATTTCTAAAAAATGATGTGATTCTTTTTGTGTAAATATATACGTTATATTATGATGTCTCGTTAGATATTGTTGCTATCCCAAATTGATTTGGTACCATTACTACATTAATATTTGGTATCGTAATTATATTGCGATGTCTCTTAATATTTACGCAAAATATGAGATTATAAAAGGACATAAACTGCTGACATACCTATATGTATAGATAAGAAGATGTAAAAGCAAGTTGGACCGAAAAAAGCACTTCTCGCTGACAATCATGAGGGGACAGAGGATGTAATGTGGTATACGTTTATTTAGATGAGGCGACACATGAGGTTCCCTCGTCTTTGCGCCGCGTCGGTAATTCATTCGGGCGCACGTCCAATTGAGACCCACACAGGAACAGGCCAGAAAAGGACGGTGCGTACTAAAGGGACGTGACTTGGAGGGTTGAAAACGACGTCGTCCTAATCGATGGCCATCTGTCGGGCATAGCGTGAAACTGCTATCAAACGTTTCAGCGTGTCCCGTAGCTGGTAATACGATGTCACGGATTGTGTATCGGTGGGTGGTTAATGAGAGTCGTAGAATTACACAAGCGCTTGATAACGATCGATATATATATATACGACGCTTTTGTGTGTACGTATTTATCGAATTATGCGTTAACAGCCCGACATATTAGATTGAACGCACGCTAAGAGTGGTCATTAATCACTTTTTGCCACGAAATACACGTTTGAACAAATTACATTAGACGTACCTTTCACTGTGTATCGTAAAGAAGAAATATAAGAGGTATGGGACATGCAGCGTAGGGGATACTTTAATCTTCATTTATAACTGCGTGGAAATTGTGTGATATGGGAAATCTATGTTGTTTCATTCGACAGACTCGAAAAAATATATCAAGTTTGGTTCAATATAATCGGTCAATATAAACAGTTGACGTTCATTTTATTAATATTCGTTAGAGAGCCGCGAAAGAGCGAATTTATTATAATGTCTGACGCTAGCGTGGCTGCCCGATCTTTCATCCCATAAGCACGCTCTGATTATTTATGAACGTGCAAACGCACGCGGCACAATCGATTTCACGGAGGCAAATTAGCCGGGGCCGGTCGGCAGACACGGACGTTAAAATAATAACGCTCATCGCTTTAATGGTCAATAATAATTAGGGAAATTCTTGCCGTCGGAAATTGGTCCTCGTTGCGAGTAAGCTTCTCCTGTTGCCGATCTCGCTTTATTTCATCGAATTATGCGGCTTAACGCCGCTCGATGATGGCCGAAATTCTTAAATGTGAAACTTTGGAATTAAGGAAGAAACTCCGCGTCGATAGTTTTACGTATAATGTTCGCCATAACGATCGAAGTTTTTAAATATTCTCAGAAAAACTCCTCAAACACCTCAGCAACGAAATTTAAATAGTAATTCGGATGTTATTTAATTGTTTTGCGCTATCATTAAGACCTGTTAAACAAAAGAGTTACTAGATATCGATATTCTATACATATAACATTATCATATCACACTAAAGCGAGTTAATTTTATTTTAATCGCCGTATATTTGCGAGATTCATCCTGCTGTTCGCATCTTCTTCAAGTTCGAGAAGTCTCGATTAAAATTCGAGAAGAGGATTACCGAACGATTAGATATACAGCGAGAAACCAATAACCGTGAACTATTGCAAGAAATGAGAGCACCTTTCTTGTCCGATTCTCCCATTATTGCGAGCCGGGAAAGTTCGCTTGGTCTTTGAGGTTTAGAAAGTTAGGACATTACAACCAAGATTAAGGCGAGAAAATTTGCGGGGAAGCGGCGGCGCGGTAAACTCATGGTTTCAGGAGCGGAAGAAGGGCGTTTTAATGGGCCGCGATTAGCAAAGTGAGGCGCCAGGGAGCCGTAGACAGCAGAATCTCGAGAAACCACTTTTCACATATCCTTCGCGGTTCTGTTTCTTGATCGAGCGACGTTACCAATACTCCTGGGAGTACAAAGTTTCCCCGTAGATTCTTAGAATCTCTAATGTGCCAGCTTCCACTTGCTACATTAATGATCAATACTCCTTCTACCATGCGACCGTGGAACGTGTCAGCCGAATGCGCAATTTTTTACAAAAATTATACATAACTCTACATATCCTCCATCACGTGTAACGCAAAGTAACATAATGTTGCAAAGTAATATTACATATGGATATTTCTAATAGCATGCATTTCTTCGTATACAAAAGAATCTGTTTGTATTCGTACAGACAATTTTTATTTAGCAAACGGTTGAATTGTGTAATAGTTGAAGTTATGTAAATTTACATTGGTTATTTAAAAATATTACATCACTGAGGAGAATTATAAATAATTAATGCCAGTAAGCTTCTTTAGGAAATGTTAAATCTTACGCATCTCAGCCGAATCTTTATCAAATGCATTAATGCATATTACTAGAATGCAAAATGTAAAAGGGTATTAGCGCATAAATTTTCAACGAATCAATGTAAAATGTTCAACGTCGATTCAATTACAATTTGATCACAGCTTATCAGATTGCATGTGCGATTCTTTTCGCGGATCAAATCCAAACGTACAGTATCGCCAGTATCTCACTTGGGCCCGGTTAAAATTGCGCGGATTCACGATCGGTGATTACAAGTGGGACGCGAGAGCGCTCAGTTCAGTTCGCGCGCGGGCTGATACCATTTGCATTCTCGCGGCTGATGCGGATCCTCGTACGTATTATTTCGCAGGACTGAGGGAAATGTGTAATTCAAATGAGTTACGAGCGGTATCGCACTCCTGGGAAGTAGGTGCTAAGCGGTCGGATATGTTGATAGAGCGCCAGTGATACGTCGGACCGCGGAGGTGGAATCGCGATGGGGTTGAAACACGGACCCGAACAAGTCGGAGTGCGACGGAGAAAGAGGGCACGGCGGAATTGGGTACGGCGGAGCGAGAGGGCGAGGTGCAAAAGGGAGCTCTGTTTGTAATAGTCCGCGATGGTGCGAGGCGATGAGATGTGATCGCTCGGCGATGAGCTGTGGGCGACCTGATGGTCCCGCAGCGGTACCATGCCCGCCTGAACTGTCTGCTCGACACTATACCGGATCCAGTTACCGCCTATGCTTATTCCGCGTTAACCTCCGGAATATCCGTCGCGTTCAAAGCGTTAAATTTCGCGAATTTTAATAATGCCGAATGAAGGGGAAGATCGACGGAATAATATTATAGCGATGAGAAATCTTCTCGTTATCCGCCGCGGTTACGGCGATTTCATTTGATTAAACTCTCTATTGTTTTATCGGATCGTTATATCGCGATAATAGGATTATTATTATAAATCAGCGTTGTCCTCGGATGCGGAATGGAATATGGGTTAAATAAAATGTAAGAATAAAGTGTAGCGCAATTAATATTCTTCGGATATTAAAAATTGTGTTCTGATCTGCCTTTACGAGCGGCAGATCCTTATGGCCATGATGGACGATACCCTGAGCCGGTGCGGTAAAAGAACGGGCGATGCAAAGTGATAACATAATCAGGTGATAATGTGGCAGTCATATCTCAACGCGAGAAATCCAGCGCGTGGTACAAGAGAGAGAGAAAGAGAGAGAAAGAAAGAGAGAAGAAGAGGGGGAAGAGAGGAGGGAGGAAGGGAGAGAAAAAGAAAGAGGCATAGCGTGGTGTACGCGAGAAATAGCGGTGTAGGAGGAAGAAAGCGAGAAGTACCATGAGGGTCTCTTATTGGCTAGTTTACTTGGCATCTAGAGACCCTCTAGAAACTCAGACAACGGTAGGGAGTAAGCGACGAATGACAACACCATTCAAGGAGAGTGACTGTAGCGAACAGCCATCGTTATCTCTTAAATAAGGGGGATGCCAGGGAGATCCGACGGTGATAACACTTGTTGAGATGCACTCTCATTATTCTACTAGATAATCATCGCCGCCAAATTAATTGAATTTTAAGCGGGAGAATATAGCTTCGGCTACAAAGGTATTCTCGAGGTCGTATCCGCGTTTCAATTCGATATCGCGCCTCGATGTTGCGCCCACGCGCGTTTTTCCGTATCGATCGAATCTCGTCTCAAAGATCCGGGCCGCGCGTTTCAGGAAACGAGGATATTCCAAGAAATATATAATAAACGCGTTAATACGAACTTGATACCGTACCAAATCGACGTCTTTACCGTGAGGAATGATTACATGTTGCACTAGGCTAGGAACATGCATTCGCCTTATGTTACCGCGGTAACCTTAAGCTTCCTCAAGGAGATGAGGCATCGCGAGAATAAGTAAGAACTCGCGACTTACACGTGCCTTTGAAATCCGGCGTCTCGGCGAGATGCATTGGCTTGTCTCGTAGCATGTCGCGCGACGCTGGAATAATGCGGGAATCATTCGTTCATGACCAATCGCGAGCGTAATGATGTTATGACGTGACGTGGGTGAGAGTTACCATAGCCGGAGCCGACAACAGGAGCAACGCTCCGCAAGATGCGGGAATGCATCAAGTCCGAGTTAGGGCCCGACCGAGCCAGAGCCGCGCGCGCGCGCGCGAGCGGTGCGCGCAGTCCTCCTTCTTCTTCTCCGACTTATTATTTGTAGCCACAGTGCGGTGGTTGCCGGCGCGCACCAGCATCCATTTAATCTCTCTCAGTGAGGAGCGTTTCTTTGATCAGCGCGCGACCGCATCTGCCTGGTAATATCTCAAGCCGGTCCTGCAACCGGCGTCCCGGGCGCGAGCTCCCCGTCTTGCCTGCACCGAGGCATTTGTTGCTGTCAACCAGCACCTCGGATAGTCTCTGTAGTCGTTGACTGCGTGCCCCGTTGCCTTCCCTTCCCTTCCTCTTTCACCTTCTCCTCATCCTTATTTTCCTTCGGCTGCCCTCCGTTCCGACCGTGCCGAAGAAGTCGCGTGCGTAATGCAAACGCGACTTCACGAGAAAGCCTTATCCTTTTTACTTTTTCTTCCCTCGGTTTCTTCGAACATTCAGTATACGAGTCTTTTTATATAAAACTCTTGAACAAAAAATTTTAAATAAAATATAAGAGAAAGTCTTCGTTTTTATTATGTTAGGACTTATTCACAAATTTTGCATTTAGTAATATAAATTAAAGTTATATAAAAAAGTGGGAAAATACTATTTTCAAATTAAACAAGTTTTCTTCCATATTCTTTTTATATAAAATGAAAAGATTGTAATATGGGGGAGAGAGAATGGGAGACGTGGCAAAGAAAATTTGTGTTTCGTAACAACCCGGAAGTAATCAATTCAAGCAATAATTTTTAATGCTTGATTCCGCGATATGGTATATAAACCCTGAGCGCTCCTGCAGTTCCGCGAATCAATTAAGGCGTAGAAATTCCTAGCATAATTACTCGCGCACCTAGAAATAATTTCCTGCTTGTATAATTCGTTAAGAGCGCATAATTATTAACTGATTACAGGCACATTAATTATGGACAATTAAGTAAATTTTAAAGGTAACCGTATGTGACGGATATACAAGAAGCTGCATCGAAACATGCGCAAATACGGTTGGCAATGATTAACTTGATATGTCACTACATTAATCCCACTATATTAATGCAGTTCTTACGTTAAATACATTTTTACACAGAAATATATGAGTAGTCATTTAAAATATTCTAAATATTTATCTTAAATAATCCGGGTAAATCGTTTATATTGTTTTTGGATTAAGGGTTAAGTATCGATCACAAAGAATTTATTCTTGATAATTTCATTACTGCGAGTTATTTTCATATATGATCACATTGAGAATGTGTGTGTGTCGCAAAAACGTTTATCTTTATAATTTCTGATTGAAAAGTATTTGTTAGTGGGAGTCACTAAAGAAAGCGGGAAAATACACAAAATGTAATATCATATTAGAGCGACTTGTTGGAAGAATATGTTGCGTAGCTTACACGAGCGAAAATACAAATACATATATATGGTAGTAATATGTAACGCACTTTGGAGTAATGTTACGTCAAACCCAGCGCCACCGAAAATATGAGCCGGCTGCCGAGCGCTTCGCTAATGCCCGGCCATTTATTATGCTTACATTATTTCGAGATTATTAGTCTTCTCCACCTCTTCCCAAAAACTTTGGGTAATGTTTTGACTCGCGCATGGCCCCGCTAATATCGCTGCAAATAAGCGCCATGCAAACACGCGATTTTATGATTCTGTTTGGATTTTTGCGACGGTAAGATCGACGGTGTACGTACGGTATATATGTTTTAATGTATGTTACAATTTTTTTAGATTATTTAGTAGAGATTCTATTTATCACGTACTTAAATTTATTTTCTCCTCCTTGCAAACACGCACAAATTAAATCGTATTATACTTAAAAATAACTCGCGTGCACAAGTTATGAAGATATTCTATAATGCAGTATTAAATAATTGTGGTGCTTGCAATGAACAGACGATATCTCATGCTTTCTAACGCTCAATGGCTCACAATTTATTCCGAGACATTTACGACAAAGCCCGAGAATCAAATGTTTAAATGCTGATAACAAACAATAATCGAAACCGATAAGACCTCTCATTGGCTAGGGTCGGACCCAGGGTCGAAGAGAATTTCGAGTAAGTAGGGTGGCGAACACCATAAGAAAGCTGGGAGCTTTCAATGCGGGAAGGATAAGAAATTACAGTAGAACGGCAAAATCGATTTAGCGAACCGTCCTTTAAAGGAGGGGATTTAAAAATAAATTCTTTTTCTCCCATTGTTCCACCTTTTATTTGTTAACTTGTGACGAATCAAAATTGTCGATGTCGGGTAACAGAAAGTAATCTTATAGTCAGGGGTCACATTTTTTACCTTCACCAGGTATTTGAAAGTACCCTATTTCTTACAGAGCAAATATAGATTTCACGGTATATTACCCACGTCGTTTTGATTGGATACTACTTCGACTCGCCCCATGGATTTGGGTAACTGTATTCATCTTAGGGTCACCCATGAAGATGCCTGATACTGAAATATCTATTCTAGTAAGAGAGACTGTAACTGACGGTGATCTATTACGACTCTTATTGGCGATCAATTCTTTTATTTGATAATAATGACGTGGTTCTTTTAAATTAAATTAATGCGATCATAAGCAAATTGTAATTTGTTTTCACGAGTCTTGCATATCTCAAAAGTATAAATATTATGGATTTTTTTCAATGAAAAAAAAAGGAGATATAAAATAGAGAGATAAAGAAATAAAAATAGTTGCTTTAAATTCATTGCTTATATAAGCGACATTACATATGACGTAGTGTGCATATCGTAAAATTTCTCCATCGCAATAGTAAGATCCAATCAAAATATGTTGCAAAGATCTTGCTTTAAAAATAAGTTTGAAATTTTCCTTGGTAGATCGAAATGTCCGAGAGCCACCCGCGGGTGGGAAACACACGAGGAAATCCGCGTACTGAGGTAACCGTATGTGAAACGTGAATTAGACAGCTGTCAAAGTCCTCTGTAGGAGAAGATGGAGTACTCATATATGTGGTGCGCGAAAGGGCATCAGAGAGCTTACGGAAGGGAGGAAAGAGGGGTTTGGCAGCCGAGCGAATGGATTTGGATATAGAATGGAGGTAAGGTAATAGTAGAAGAGACGGACGAGGACGGCAAGATCGGTAGAGAGAAACGGAGGGCCGATGGAAAAGGGGACAAAAGGGTATAGAGGGGGTGAGCACTGATAAATACCTCGCCATTTCTCTTTGTGCTCCCCGGCGAGAGCACAAACACAAGGCGGCTCCCTCCGTTTCAACCCGAGAGTAGCTACCTAAACCTTACTCTCTTCTTATTCCACGTCTCTGTTCCTTATCCCTCCTCATCTCTCTTGTACTCGACTATACGCTTCCTTTTCCTCTATCATCGATTTTCTTCGTTGTTCTTTAAATATTTCACGATCGACCGGTTATTAAAGCGGTAACTATCCGAATGCACACGTGTTAACAAATCGAATCAATGAAGTACCTTACCGAAATTATTTTATTTTGTTTATATTACATTATATTTTATTATATATCTAATACTTGAATGTAATTATATTACGCATCTAATAATAAAGAAAAACATTGCAATAATATTTTCGATAAGTGGTACGCAGCGTAACGGTTGCGAAATGCACGATTCTGCATATCACATAACTTCTACAGAGATATTTGATGTTATTTGATTTTCCTGGTTATATGATAAGGACACAAAAATGTTTGTTTTTTCGAAAAGTACCTTCTTTATCTATGTGTATTCAAACAATGCGATCGATAAGATAATCTGAATTCGAAAATTAGAGTCGATCTAATTTCTTAACCGAAGTGAATCGCTTGTTTCCGAAAGGTGAGAGATAAAACGATCGAGCAATTAAGGCGGCTCTTCTTTTGGAAGATTTTCTCCTCATTGTGGACTCGCACGAATGGCGGCCAATGCCTGATTTCTCTTCCAGGATTGGTTTTAAAATTAATGCTGTTTCTCCGTTTCGGCTCTTAATGGCTTCTGGGAGGAGCCCCGCGAGAACCAATCGCCTCCTGCAGTCAAACTGCCTTGAAGTGAAAGCACGACACCCACGAAACGATGTCGGTCGTGTGTAAGATTAGGCCCCGTTCGATCTTTCGCGGCCTTCCTTCTTCTCTTTCTCCTTTTTTATTCGATCATTGAAATACAGAGACGATTCTCTTAAAGAACCCTTTAATTAAGAATCCATATTCATGCTCGTTAATACACTATAATTGCACCAAACCAGAGGTATCCATTTATTAGGATTGACTTATCTACATTGTAAACAACCCTTTATGCATATTGCATAGTGTTTCGAGCCAGTTTTCGTCGAACATATCTATAGTAGTAATAATAATTTTATATTTATATATATATATAATCAAAATTTATTTTTATTTTATATGTTATAATCTCAAAGGACAGAACGACGGTCAAACTCATTACTCGCGAAGTCGAGAAAGTGTGCTTGCACGCATATTTTTAATCACTTCTCGAATCCGCATTGGGATATAACTGTTCCTCTCCGTCCAGCAATGAACACACTCCGCTCGCGTATGCTCGGTCGTTCCATTCCACGCGAATATCGATATCGCGCCGATTATTCATCTGCCATGCAACTTTGTATTCACCGCGGAGTCCCGTTACTGCGCACGTTGTTACAACCGATCTCACGACAAGAACCTTACATCCTGACAAAGGCCATATCGTGGACGTACCTGGCGTTTAGTACGTACATAGAATCGTGGGCGTGCAGGATGTTGCGTAGGCCACCGAGGATTAAGCAGATTAAGACGTCAGGCGCCCGCGGCGCTTGATTAATGCACGGCATTCACAGGAACGAAAAGATTCCTCGCTCTTTGTACGCTGTTGCGGTGGAAGGCGATGCGCCGGAAATTGCGCTCGCCTTTTCTACCGTAGCGATGGCAAGTGCTAGGAATCGTCACCGTGACTCGCGTATATCGGCATACCGTTCGCCGTGACGCTTTTTAATTTAATATATCTATAATATATCATTTTTTTAATCTATTGATTTTTAATTTATAAAAAGATTAATTTTTTGTGATGTAATATAACTACAAATACTACAATTTAATTCTCTTGCTCCGAAAGGCCATTATAGAAACCGCAAATCTGTTTTGTTGTATGTTTATAATAAACTATTCAACACTATTCGCCGAGACATTCTCATTTATCAATCGAAATTTCTTATAGTAGTGATAATAAATTGCGTTACACGATCATGTAACAGGCGGTATATTCTATCTATAGAAAAATGATGCTCGCGGCTCGTTGTCCCGTTCAGCGGTGGCAAACCGCTAGCGGCTAACTCCGCCGTCGCGAAAGGGTTAAGAATTAATTATCGTTAAATAAGGCAAATTTTTATGTTCTATCATTAGACATAAGTGCAAAATCTTACAGCCAGTGTCATTAAATAGTCGTTAATTAGGCAGCATGTTAAAGCAATAATGATAATGACAATAAAACATAAAACGTAATAAGACTGCATAAATAATAAGAGCACGAATTGTGAGAAGCTATAATCAATGTGAGATTTTCTTCCTCGATAAAGAAATTTCAGCTTTCAACGAGCGCTCCAGTTTTATATACTTGACAACTCACTTACTTTACTGCTTGTATATAATTATTGCGCGAGTAATAAAAGAAAAGAACAAAGTTGTGGGATTATTACCCGCTTATAGTTAGTTGCTGTAATGAGGCAATCACCTTCTTTCACCGAGACGAAATCACCTGTCAGCTAGTCGTCGACGGCAGCTGCGCCTGGTTGATCCACGGACTGCTGTCTGCGAAATAAGAGAAGAGCGTTATAATGACGATCTAAATAGTATACCAGGATTTTAATAAACAATTAATGTGTCTTTAAACAAACACACAGTCGACTATTACCATAAATTTATAAATTATATTTTCGAACAAGTAAATTATAAAATACTGTAAAATTGATGTATAATCTGAGAATTTAATAATAGAAATTCTTTTAATTTTGACGTTTTAAAAGATTTCTAAGAGAGACAGAAACAAATTGCTCACTTCACTAACTTTCATCAGATTTTGAATCATTCTGAGGTAAGATTTGACGAGGGTTTCGTATTCTTTCGAGAATTATTCGTAAACCTCAAAGTGAGTAATTTTAAAGGAGTGAATACAATTGATCTCTATCTTTGTCTCTTGACTGACCGAAGGCCCACCTGAAAATTGAAATGTCTTGAAAATGGATCACTCGTTGTCAGTTTGGAAGTGGACTATTAATAGTTACAAGCGCTTCGACCTTCGGGAAAAGGATGAGCCTCGCATGATGAATAGCGTTCAGGGAATGACAAGCCCACGTAAACGTAATATCCTTTACGTGAAAAAATATTTTCTTCTATTGGTCATTTAATTTCTTAATTTATCTCGATAATGCGTTCAAAAAAATTTTACAAATAATACGAAATTATAAATATTAATCGTTGATAAAAATTATTTTGAAAAAATATTGTCTAAAGTAAAATATAATAATTATTTAATAATTATATGCAATATTTTTGCTTAACAATATACTTCGCATTAATCTGAAAAATACAATACTAAAGTGAGTCTCAAATCGTAGAAAGCATCTTTTCTTGCAGGCTTATTTAATCGTAATTTCTACGTAGAAATTCCCCGCCTAAGGTGCGCGAAGGGCATCCAATTGAAACGTCTAAGAACGAGAGATGGATAGTTGTCACTCACACGAGATAGGTTCGACCGAGCCTAAAGTTGCCATTTTGAATTCCTCCGTGGTCAATCCCGGGGCCGAGTTTGAGGAATCGTAGGCGGAGATGAAGGCTTCACGCGGCGCGGTGGAACGAGAACGAGAGATCGGAGCTCCTCGCTGGTAGGATGGATGCCGTCGTACGTTGGTACAGGCGCAGAGGAACCGTGTAGTACGCCGACCTGTACCCCGTACATGGATACACCCTATTCTGACTGGTGGATAAACGCGGTAAGAGAGAGGCGCGGCCCACGGTATCATTTATCATTGCGGGAGCTCATTAAGGCCGAATCTGCCGCACGCTGATCGTTTGGGATTACACTTTCCTTCTCGTATCCCTTCGGCGTTTAACCCCCTACGCAACCCCGACCACCTTTTTCCTCCTTTCTTTTCCATTCGTTCGCTTCTTCTTCGCAAATAGCGCGCGGTTTTTGCTCAGCTTTCTATTGTAGAAGGAAAATGTAGCATCCACGCGTTGAAATCTCGCTATAGATAAGGCACTTGTATCGCAGCTAGAATATAATTTTTTTCCCCGAGTCTGTTATGGATTTAACATTCTTCTATGCGTAAAAAGTGCACGGAAAGAAAGTAAAACATTTTTATGTCGCACGTGCGAAAAGTTTATATGTTGAAGCACTTGATATTATTGTTTTATCCATATGCAGCTACGCGAGATGCGTTTCTTTTATTTTACGTTTTAAAATTAAAGATTTCTTTCAATATGGAGCAATCGTAGGAATTTCTAAGTCTGGCAACTTTTACAGACGCCATTTACGCGCTCATCGTTCTTCATGCTGGACTTACATGCTGACCTCACTCGGTTTTTCCAAAGGCCTCCGGCAAAATCCGACGGATGGTGCATTAGCTCGCTCGGACCAGCCTAATGACGCCACCACATCCCCATAGGGAACCTTCGTTCGCTCGTGATTTCTTCCTCTCTTCTTTCTGTTACACCAGTTCGGCCACGAGCGATCCATCACCAGGTGAAAAAAGTCTCTTTATATCGTGCTAGTAGAGATGCCGCTTGCTTCTTTCTACGTTGTCATCTATTACCGGTACTTTCTTCAGCTTCTTTCTCGTATTCGAAACTTTACAATGCGCGTTTTAAAACAAAATATCGCCTCTAATAATAATTTCTTGTCTAAAATTTTATAGAAGCCATTAAAAATATTGTAAGATAAAATACTATTTTTCATATACAATTTTATTAAGAATAATTTTATTAAAGAAAAATATAAAATTAATTAAAATCAACGAAAAAAGCTGCGTTTACAAAATCGAAAATAAGATACAGGCAATAAATAGCAGAACATTTCTCGGGTATAAAGCAAACGTACATGAAGTTATCAACATCTCTAAAGTTTTATTCGGACTTCCCTCGGTTAAGTTGTATCCCGGGCTACTCTATCGTTTTCCGGTTTTTGCAACGATACTCTCCTTACCGTGCCGGATAGCAAGCACTCGAAGTCCGTCCCTACTAGTGAGAAATGCCGCTAGTTTTATTTTGCCAGTTCCCTACGTTAGCGATTTTTCCATCACCGCGGCGAGATATTTCACCGACAATCTAAGAGTCGCAAATGGAGTCCACAATGAGGCAGAAATGGCTTGGTGCTCTGATGGCCCTCGCATTTGTCTTCACTCTGTTCCTTTCCCGTTCTCCCTCTTTCGATCTCCGAACACGCGCCTTTCACTCCCGCCTTCGCCTTTCTTGCCACCCTTGGGAAAAAGCGCGATCGACTGCTGCTGCTGCTGCTGCTGGAGTCACGATCGCTGCTCGACTAACCCCCATGCATTAAATTTCAGACAATCGTTCAGACATTAAAAAGCGCTTTCCTCGGAAGCGCGAGAATTACTCGAAATGGGCAAAGTCTTTACTGATATTAGGCGCTTCGTCGGTCTCGCTAACATTACACGTGTCCATAAAAAGAGGAGATGACAATCCAGTCTGGAAGACAAAATAGACGGCATGCAAGTCGCTCATGCCGCCACCGTAGCGGCCATAGCAAGTAACGTTTCCGCAATTATAAGCCCATCAGCGGCAAACGAAGCTTCGTGTTTTTGTGACGGCTGGCACGGAGTCGACTGGAAATAAGGCGGACAGGGAGGACGAAAGCATGAGAGATAACGCTCGTGTATTTCGTGGTGTGATACACACATATAGACGGGCACGTACACCGATCAAGGCTGGCTACTCAAGAGGCACAGCGACGCGGTAACGCGGACATTTCGTGCATCAAGGACGGTCTGATGCGATTTTAATCATGGACACCCCTCACGCTTTTTCCCCGCCCGCGGCCGAGGGCTCTGGCTGCCAACAACATTTCCAAGTCCAACCCCCTCGCCACGCCGGTGTAAAACCGATTAATTTCATTGCTCTACCCTGCGCGTGGTCGGGTAGCAAAAGAACTCCTGAAAGCCGAGTGACAACCCACGCATTCATATTTCATGACTTTTTGCTTAATCGATCTCTCTGTTAATCTTTTATTATCCGCAATTAGGGGCAAAGTAGTGAATTAATTAAGAGTGATGAACCTCTTGTTTCCGCGTTTATGTACTTATGATCGCTCGATCGTTATTCCGTCATTATTTTAAAATAGCTTCGTTTGCGCACGTGTCCCACATATAGTATCGATATAAGAAAAATTTGTCTCGAAAGAGACTCTCTCTATGCGTCGTAACAATTAATAAAGCATCGAACATTAATTCTTGGCCCGAAGCAACTGCTTTTGGATTTGTCTCGAACACATTGACTGCGACAGTTGCACAACTACCATTGTATGCGCACGGCGGAAGAGTTCAGGAAGGACAAGCCGAGTGTCACCGGCGGCCTTAGAATACAGGCAGGCGACATAAATATGCATGTCTCCGCGGGCCCATGGCTCATGTGCCGGTGATCGTTATATCTCCATCTGACCGGAGACTGGAAGGGATGGAGAGGGTTAGTGGCGGTCCGGTAATACATTCAAAGTTGGACGTAGGGACTGCAGGGACAGAAAGGGGAACGTGGCGACTCTCGGATGGTGTTGGAAAGAGGAGGAGATAGGAGAGTGGTGAAGTAGGTGGACATAGACAGAAGGGGGGCGAGGGGAAAGGCCGCGGGAGGCGGAGAGGGAGGTTTCTCGTGTTTCATTTCCTGAGCTCCTATATAACTTTGTGCTCAACTCGACACCAGATTAATAACGGCCCCACCTATCCTATTCTATCCCAACCCGAACAAGTTCGTGCTGTGTGTACACTCCGTGTGCTGTGCGCACGATGCCTGCTCGTATCACTTCTCTACTCTCCCTCTGTCTTTCTCTCTCTTTCTATCCCTCTCTCTTTCTCTTCATCTTGCACCCTCTCGCGTTCGTCCTCTTTCTCTATTCCTCTACCTGCCTTTTTCCCTCTCTCTCTCTCTCTCTCTCTCTCTCTCTCTCTCTCTCTCTCTCTCTTTCTCTCCCTCTCCCTCCCCCCTCTCTCTGTTTCTGTCTGTCGCACTGGATGCGCGACACGGTTGAAAATTCTGAACGTGTTACCGATCCATCCATGGACACCGGCACGCCCTGACAAACCGACATGCTGAAAACTCCAACGCGGCTGACCAATGCGATCCGTACGCCGAACCGGAGTAATCATATTTCATATCGCGATGGCTAACCTGTTATTTGTTGTTCGAGCACGCCGTTGTGTTGTTAGCTGATAGGCAGTATTTGAAGAAAGAAAGAATGAAAGCAATGCGTTAATCTTATTTCTAAAAGCTTTAGAGGAATAAAGGGAGGAAAAAGGGGAAAGATAGCATATTTTTAATCAAGCTCCTGTGTGTAGGTTGTAAACTATACATGATTATTAATCTAATTTGTATGAGATACGTTATCGTCGATAAGCCGTTTTATAAATGCTTTCACAGTACGCTGCATAATAAAATTGCTTATTAAATATGTAGAAAATATTATAAGCCAGCTTAATAACAGTTCTCATTATACTTGCACATTGTTAAGTAGTAGCATGAAGAAAAGAGTGCTCCATGAGTCTAAGTTACGAAGCACGTCATCAGAGTAATTTCCAAGGGGA